TTTAATTCATTGTATATTAAGATGTGTATGCTATACTGAAAGGAAAAATTGTTCTGTAAATAAAAAGAAAGTAGCAAAAAGTACTTCCCATATAACACCGATTAAATGTTGCAGCAATCTTAGGCAAATATTGATTAATCTCAAAATAATCTAACATTATAATTTCAGTTCAATTCAACAGTTGAGAATTTTCTGTTTGGTTGACAGAATACATAACTAAAATGTATCAAGGTCCCTTTTGCCAGAACTGGATTTTCTACAATGCAGTTATTTCCACACAAAATCCCTGGCCAGTCCTGCAAATAGGCTTGGGAAATCTCTGATATCCATCAGAAGAGATAGCTCAGGTAGCTTAGTAGTAACCTTGGCAATATTAACCTCTTTCCAGACCAGTGTCTTGCATAAATCTGAGAAGCTTCTTGAATTTTGGAAAAAATAAACCACAACGGAAGTTCCACCTGCAGATGAACTTGTCTATTACAAAACTTTTTTTGCTGTGTGTCACATTAGGAAAAAATAATAGTAAAAATAGAAACTAAAAGAACTGTTAGAAGTTGCATTTCAGTGCTTCCAGCAGCTGGTGTAGTAAGCAAGATAGTCAGGGATGGAAATATGTCATAAAAATAACGTTAACAGCTTTTGCTGGACTTCTCTTTTCCAGATGCCACAGAGCTAAATGACAGTTCTTAAATATTATAAAAGAAGAAAAAAATGAGGTTGTCTATTTTTTTTAATCAGTCAGCACACCATTTGCTTTACAGCAGTTTTGGCACAGTAATTATCTAAACACAAGTTAAAAAATTACTGTAATCAGAGCTTACATTAGATTAAGTTTATGGCTCTAGAAAAATATCTAATTCGAGGTTTTGTTCAGATCATAGAGAAATTCTGTCAGAACAGATGGGGAGGGATAGTAAAAGCTACATGAGGAGATTATAAAGCAACAATATTACTGACTTCTAATGTACTTTAAACTCCTGTCTTCTGCAGTTGCCACCTTTCCTCCATACTGCAAAATTTATCAATTTATAGTCCAATCTGGACAATGTAGGCAATTCTATGTGATACAGTAACACGGGTCAAAATGACAAAGCCTTTGAAAGAAACTTGTCAAGTGTGACTATCCTATGTAGTTGCTTTTAGGTATGCTAAGGTAGCACTTAGAGCTGCATCTGCAATTGTAAGTGTCTACATACAACATGATTATGGTCTCTGTAGACTGGGAAGATAGAATAGAAGAAAATGAATAAAAAAAGATCACTTTCAAACCTCCTACTGAATGTGCCAGACTAGTGGCTGAAACTAATTCTCTCATGACTGATTAGGGAGCAAAGGTCTGACATTGCTGAATAACAGACAACCACAGTAGCCCATTGTGGAGTGTACATGTCAAACTAGTAGCAGTAGCGTTTTTACACTCTTATAGTAGAAAGTTTATATGCAGCCTATATAGCCTGAAGCTCCGCTATGAAGTAGCCTCTTATGGATTTCAAAAAGGAATAATAAATGCATTGGAATTGCTGAGCTTAATTGACCGAAGTCACAAAGGAAACCCATGGCAGAATGGAAGTTGTATCACCTCTGTCCTCATGCACTGCCTTCATCTGTGGTCGCCCTTCTTCTTTAGAGATGAATAATGAAAATTTTAGTGATGAAAATATGCTAACAGAGCAAAGATGTGTCATATGCCCTAAAGATTTAAAATCTAAGGACCAGATCCTGCAGTTGATCAAGACTTTTTTCCTAGACTTTACTCCAGAAAGATTACAATGGTCATCCTGTGTGACGTTGCCCACATAGTACTCAGTCCAATAATTTATAACGCATTACTTGTATGTACTTTTGGAAAGATGTATTCTTTATATCAGGTGTTCACAACTTACCTCAGAGCACCTCAGAGTGTCCCGGTGGTTAATAGCACCCTCACTTCCACACAAAAGGTTCTGTTGTAAGTTTCTTTTTTATAAGGCCTCAGTTTTATAATCCTGGTTATAAAGTGATATAATAATATCAGATAGTGGCTTCTTTTTATAACCAAAAAGCAAATTTTCTTTTCAAGCTAGATGAGATGAAGATTTTTCTCACTGTAGAGACTTTCTCAATACCCTAAATACTCTTTACACTTTTTTGTTTTTGTTGTTTTTATGCTAAGCATGAAGAGCAAGGCTCATTTCACTTAATATATAGTTATCTAAAAGTAAGCATGAGATCTTATTCATATTGCCTCTACACTCAGTAGAGAAAAACATCTCAAGAGAGCATTTCCCCTCACTTCTGGATAGCTAGATAACCCCTTTGAGGTACTAATCTTCCCAGTGACTGTAGAAGGAACCTAGACAAAAGATTTTGACAAGACATCAAAATTTTTGATCAAGACAAAGCCTCTCCTTTAAGTGGTAACAGTATTCTAGTAGTAGCTAAAACACTGCTCTGGTACCTCATCTTCCAGTCCTGCCCAGAGGAGCAGATATTATTTCCCAAAGAGATCATGGCTGGCCTTCATTTCCTAATAGCTTGTTCTGGCAGGAACACTTGTCCTCAGCCATAGATAAAAGAGTGAAGCTGACAGAGGAAAAAAAAAAAAAAGTGCTGCTCACATAACATTCGTGAAGCAGCAAAGTTAATTGCTATGTAATTACCACCCAAGTAAATTGTTTAATGTGGTAAAATGTGACCAGGGTTGTTACTTCTGTTGCAAGCAGTGGCTCATGGTGCCATCTGCAACCCATCAACAGATCACATAGTGAATTTGCTGCAGATGTAAAGCAAACCCTCGACATCTCCAAGCATGTTGTTAAAAACCCCCATCAAGCGAATACTAACATTTCTGTTGTTTCAGATGTCATTCTGGCTATTTACACAGGGCTCAATGGTGCCGCACTTGTTCATGTTGATGAGGGAAGAATATGGTTAGTTAAGAGAAGAGCAGGTTGGCAATGGCTTCTGAGGTTAGAAACAAAAATAAAAGGGGGATAGAAGACACATCAGTGTTCAACCATAATTGGAAATCCAGCTACGCCATGTGGAGAGGGGAGCAATGAGGGGGAAAGGAATGTGGTCTGTCATGAAAGCAGCATTCTGGCAATTTACTGTGGGATCGCGAGCAGTTCGTATAAACAGCAGGCGACTGCTGGATCAGCTACTGACTCCTTCTGGGTGCAACACGCCTAGTGGGTGAATGTGCCAGATCAGAGTCATAACCACAGCAGGCACCAGTACTCTGCACTGTTAAGCTGGGATAATGCACTGAAAGTTGAGTGAAATGCAAGTGTATGGAGACCCTATGTAAGGTGCTGCAAAGCAAACTGTTCACAGACCTCCAGCATATTCAGCAGAGCATCAATAGGGGGACAGGGCTCCATGGGAGTCATAGAGACATTTTCTGCTGATACCAGCATCACAGGGACTGCCACAGCATGCAGGGAAAACTCGTATATCTTATTTTAACAGTATTATCTATTATTTTAAATTTCCAATTCAAAAGGTCATCGGAAAAAAAGAACAGAGAGTGACTTTCAATTTTGCTTCAAAACATGGATTTATTTCCTGTTCCCTCTGCATATCAGTTGTCCCACAAAAGTGGTTGGATTTGTTTCTCATGATTTCAGGTTTTCTATAATACATTTATTTATTATTTATTTTTAAGAGAACATTTTAGAAGCAGCTTGAGGATACAGGAGGCACCAAGACTCTTTAGATTTGAGCTCCTTGGTGCCTGAGGTGCTTTTGAAAATGTCTGCCATGGTTCACAATAACCCAGATACTCAGGAAATCTCATTCAAAGAGGAAAGTTGAGCCCTTTAAAAAGCTGTTCCTCCTGCTGAAGGGTATCTAGGATTATCAGCACACATTACTTCATGAGAGAGAAATGCTTCCCAGCTCCACTGATTGTCACACTTTAAGCTATCTCTCATGTCAGTGGCAATAGCCTGGTTTTGCTCCTTTGGTTACTTTGCACAGAGCAATAAGGAGCATGAAAGAAAAATAAAACAACCTGCAAAGCAGTTTTGTTTTGTTTTAAACCAAGATACCGGTATCACCCTAGCACCACTTTTATGTGCTTGCTGAGCTCCTTGGAGAATCTGTATTTGTGCAGAATTTGGACGCTTCTCAAGTTGATGTGTTTGACGTTATGTTTCCAAAACAAGCAGGCAAAAGTGTATGCTCCATTACCTGACACACACACTTTGCGAGAACAACTTGCACATATACTTCAAGAAACTGACCAACAGGAGCCTGTTGGTCAGGAGCCTTTATTGTTCTAATTAAAAAAAAAAAAAAAAAAAAAAGGGGGGGGGGGCTGATTCTGACTTACTTGGGGCATTCTTCCTTCAGCTGAATACTCACACTAGGATAAACTGGGGGAAAAAAAAAAAAAAAAAGTTTCTATTTTGGAGGAACAAAAGCAACTTCTAGATTTTTAAGCTGTTTGCTTGCTGTCCTTGAAGAGTTAGCTTAGAGAAAGAACTGGTCTGCATAAAGCTGCACTGTTTAGCATTGTGAAAGAATTTGTCTTAACAAAAGAGTGTGAGAAAGACAGAGACTGTTCTACAACTCTCTCCTGCCCAGGGGAATTTAACAATTTGAATTGCAGCAAAAATCTTGAAATGGAGTAAATTGCCCAAGTTCAGATGATTACAGTAGCTGAAGAGTTATTATCATAGGTTTTGAAAAATCACAGCAGTATGGATAATCTCTAGATTGTGAAGCAATGTTGCACTCTTACAAAACTGAATCTTGGTCCTCAGTTTTGTACACATTGTATGCAATTTTAATGCACAGCATAGGGTGACAATAGTCTAAGAACAACTATGATGTGTATCTTCTTGTATTTTTTCATTGATATTTCCAATTGCAAAGTTTTCTTTATTGGAAAAGTGATTTACAATGTACAATAATGCACAGCAGCCTATGCTGGCATTATCATGGGAGCAAAGAAGTGCCATAATAATGTTCACTATCATAAGATAAACTGTAGTAAAAAAAAAATGAGACATTACTACTTGATGATCTCTTCCATTACAGAGCATTTCAGGAAACAGGTCCTCAGCAATTCGTGTACCAGGTAAGGAGTGACACTGGGAACACTGGAATCATGACAGACCCACTGCAAAACAGTAACAACAACAACAAAATATATGCTTTCTTTTATGATGTTTTTTTATCAGTAGCAGGAAATGGCATTTTGTCATCAGTTTTATAATGGTAGCTACTTAAGCCCTAATCTTGTTTTTATGATCCTGTACTAGTAGGTTGACAAAAAAAAGATGTTGCACTGATCCAGAATACAAAATAGCTTCCTTGGACTTGCCTAGATCTTTTGTCCTTTGTCAGTTCAGCACTGCAGAAAATATGGTGACCACACTGTGAGCTCTTTGACTTCATCACATTGAGATCCTGCATGTGAGATGTCACAGAGGTTGCAGAGGCATATCACAGACGGACAATGGTAAAGTCCAGAGGTGTGAGTGAAGATGTGTCATGCCCACTACTGAAGGAGTTGTTCAGTCTGGAGAAGAGAAGGCTCTGGGGAGACTTTATAGTAATTTTCCAATACCTAAAGGGGACCTATAAGAAAACTGGGGAGGTACTCTTTGTCAGGGAGTGAATTGGTAGGGGAAATGGCTTTACACTAAAAAAGGTACATTTTAGATTGGACATTAGGAAAAATTTATTTATTATGAGGCTGGGGAAGCACTGATTCAGGTTGCCCAGAGAAGCTGTGGATGTCCCATCCCTGGCAGTGTTCAAGGCCAAGTTGGATGGAGTTATGAGGAACCCAGTCCAGCAGAAAGTGTCTCTGACCATGGCAGGGGGGTTAGAACTAGATGAACTTTAAGGTCCCTTCCAACCCAAACCATTCTGTGATTCAAAGAAGCTATGATTCAATGATTCCTGAAGTTCTTACACCAGCTGTACAAAAACAGCTCGTAAAACAAACAAATAAATAAATAAAAGTACTTTTACTTTTTACATCTCTAAGATGTAATCAGGGTCTTAATGAGAATCATTCAGCAATCATGCATTTTGATGCCTGCCGTTTCAATGAAATTATTATTTTCAGTGAAGAAAATAACTTATAGTTAAATGTTTTTCAGTTGAAAGTCATACAAGAGAAGACACACAGAAAGGAGGTACGCATATGGCTATTTCAGAGCAGAAAATTGTATTCAACTTCAATGGCAAAATAAAGAACAAATAGGTATTTCTAAATAAAATCGTTTTACAGCATTTTATTCCATCAATGATAGTTAGACTTTTTATACTGGGTAAGGCCAAAATGAAATACAGATATTCCAGAAACCTACGTAGGTTGTAAATTCTATTTTCTGACTATGTCTAAATACAACTGAGATAAACAAATTAAAGTGTCATTTTTTTCCTTTTGCAAATATATTGGTTTTACTTAAAGTGTAAATCAAATATGGTGTAAATAAATCCTTGCAATAATTATTTTGAGGAAGAACAGAGGACCAAAAAATAAATAAAGACAGATATGTTTATGGCATCCTCATTTTCTTTTTAAGAAACATGAAAAAATAAAGCCTTCATAGCTGAAGGCCAGTTTTGCATTCTATTTCCTTGCAGATATCATTTTAGCATTTTTTAAAGTTCACAAATCAAGGCAAGGTCATTTTCTCTTGTTCTCGGTAGACAAAGCATATAGTTTTACTGCAGGGGGAAAAGGGCAGCAAAGTTGATCTGCAAATCTCTTACTTGAGCCTTAGTAATTTTAGACAGGTGCCCTTTGCTTAGCGATATTTTTTCTTGAAAGAATGCATCTTGGCACAAAGAAGAAAAAAAGTAATTGTAGACATCTGGCCTTTAGAAAGCCAATGGCTTACAAATTAATTTTACTGGAGGCTGTAGTAATTATAGGACTTGATACTGCCAACCAGATACTCACCTGAACCTTACCACAGGGTCCATTTGTCTGTTCAGGCTTCTGTTGCAATTTGCTGAGGAAAAACTGTGGATCTTAACATGTCCTAAAAACAAAACATCATAGTTATCTCACTGTTAAAGAGAATCGATTTGCAGGTCTCTGTGCTGATACGCAAAGCTTTTCAGATATATCGTTCCTTACACCAAAAATCACCTCTCACTCTGCAACTGCTATGACTTTCATTTGAAGGTTGTCCACTCTGACAGCAAAGGTGCTGCCAGCTAAGGAGCAGTCATATTCTCCAAAGAGCATGAAACATCTTTATTTATGTATTTTGTAGACTGAAAAAGACTTAAGTGTAAATGACAACACCTGTCCATGAAACATAAACTGTTTATAGAAAGGTACTAGTTCCAGAGAAAGGTTTATCAGCAATGATCAGGGAAGGGATCCAATTTCTGCTCAAACAGTGGGAGACTGGAAGTAGTTTGAGAACAGATCAGTAACCAAGAGAAAGCCATTTCAGATCTGTCCTCTGCCCAGTAATCACAGGAGCACTGAACTCCTGAGTGCTCTAATCCACAGGACTGCTGTCCAGTTTTTGCACAAAAACACACAAAGGACTGAGGTTGTTTGTTGTTGTTGTTGTTGTTGTTTTTTCTTTCTTTTTTTTTTTTCAGTATAAAGCAGGGTATTTTTCAAAACCATGAAGTGGCAGAAAGAAACGTTTACATCCTGGTGTGAACATCAATCTCAGGGTCTATCTTACACAATCAACATAATACAAAATCTCCCAAACTTGAAGACTCTTACTTCTGCAGTTTTACTTTCTGATTCAGGATACACGGGCAACATACTTTTAATGAGTTCAATAGAGTGTGGTATTCCAGAGGCTGTCAAGACCTGGGCAGTGCAGTCATCATGTCTGTGAAACCTTCTGAGACAACTACATGATGCCTCTAAGCTTGCCTGGGTTTGACAAGACCCAAATTCTGGCATGGCTCCCTGGGAACCTCTTCTATATCATTTCTGAAATTGCCTCTGTCAAACATGTTAAACACAAGGCTGATAACATGTGATTTTAGAGGTATTCACCTGCTACAATTCCATACTTCCCTTGGCAGTATGTTTCCCAGCTGTAAAAACTTTACTTTCTGTAGTTCTCAAATGTTGAGTTTATTGCTACTTCTGTGCTGCTTTGGCTTCTTAAGTTATCAGCTTTTTAAGTGTTTTTGTTGTTGTTGTTGTTTTCCTAGTAAATAAACCCTAAATTTAAATAATGATTAAACAATAAATCACTAAAGAAGATAGCTGTGGCAGGTTGACTCAAATGTGAGTTTATTTTCAATAATAAAATGTGTCAATATTTATCCTTATTTAAAGCACAATTTTCTCAAATAATAGAGTTAATATTAAGGGACCTATCTATCTTAGGAATATATAAGATGCCATTTTTCATTGTCTGGAGGTTGCAAAACTGAGAAATATTGTAACTTCTGCTATATGAGCATAGCTCTTGAATCAGCTTTTGTAGGGAGACATGACATTTTTCCATTAATCATTGTTTTACTGCTACTCAGTTTCAGCCATTAACTTGTAATGCCCAGAAGGCTTATAGTGCAGAGAATTTGACTGTTGCCAATGTAAAATTACTGATAAGACGATGGTTGTTTTTTTTATTTTTTTTTTTAAGATGTGTAGCAATTTGCCAACATTTTTAACAGCAGAATCCAGAAGGTAAATAATTCTTAAAGGTTTTGAAACTTTTGAAAGTAGTTATAAATTTTCAGTATAAATATTGATAACATTATTACAATATCTTGTAAAAAGATGCTTACACTCAAAATCTGACGGCTTATCAATAGCAATGAAACCAGCAGTGGTCTTGAATCAAAATCCTGGATCTATACAGCCTGAAGTCATGAGATATTCAAAATGCAGCTGTAGGTCTTTTCTCTGTTCTAAACTTCACCTTAATTTTACCCCATTGGTGTCCCAGACTGAAGCCTTATATTTACAGCTTGGTCATCCCAGGAAGGGGGAGGACATAGCCCTATGGATATCATTGCTTCATTCTGCACACCAGTGCAGACAAGTAATTTAAAACAATCCTGTTCTGAATGCTTAGCTGGCCATTTCTCAAAGGAAATGAAAATCCTGAAAATCAAGAACTTATTTTTCTTCGTATATAGAATCATAGAATAACCTGAGTTGGAAGGGACCCGCAAGGATCATAGAGTCTAGCTCCTGGCTCCACACTTTGCCACCCAAAAATCAGACCATGTGTCTTAGAGCATTGTCCAAACATTTCTTGAACTCCTGCAGATTCAGTGCCATGACCACTGCCCTGGGGAGCCTGTCCCACTGCCTGACCACCCTCTGGGTGCAGAACCTTTCCCTAACCCCCAGCCTGACCCTCCCCTGTCCCAGCTCCATGCCGTTCCCTCATGTCCTGTCGCTGTCCCCAGAGAGCAGAGCTCAGCACCTGCCCCTCCGCTCCCCTTGTGAGGGAGCTGCAGGCCACCATGAGGCCTCCCTTCAGCCAGTTCTGCTATGGGCTGAACAAATCAAGAGACCACAGCCACTCCTAGTACATCTTCCCCTCTAGGCCCTTCACTATTTTCATAGCCCTCCTTTGGACACTCTTTAACAGCTTTATGTCCTTCTCACACCGTGGCACTCCAACCTGCACACAGTGCCCGAGGTGAGGCCAGCACAGCGCAGAGCAGAGCAGGACAATCCCTCCCCTCACTCGGCTGGTGGTGCTGGGCCTGAGGCACTCAAGGTAGGGTTGACCCTTAGGGCTGCCAGGGCTCACTGCTGGCTCATCTTCAACTTGCCATTGACCAAAATAATATTGCATTGTTTGTGCATAATTATTGATGAGTTAGTCCCAGTCTCAGTACCTGGTTCATTGTTGTCACCTGCATCACAGAGAAACATCAACATCCATTTTTTGTTTGCTGCCTGGCTACCATAAAGCTAATAACAGCAGTGCCCTGGCCTAAGGTGAAATCCAGCACTAAGAAATAGTGGGCAATACCTAAGTGGTATAAAACGATAAATGAAATTGTTGGTAACAGCTTTATGTTTGAGGACTTTTGCAAAAAAAAAGTATCATGGCTGAAACTGGTTCTTGTGCATGGGATTGCCCCTCATTTTTGATATGTGGTACAAAACAGCTTGCCCGGATCACATGCATAAGCCTGAATTCCAGCAACTGTGAATTCTGAAACATAATCTAAATAAAAGGACAAATTACTCCAGATGCCTTCAAATAAATCTAGATTCTCCTGCTCCTGGCTACTGTTTCAAAAAGACCAGCTTGCTTTCAGAACTGAAAGTGTATGGTGAATTTGATTTTAAGGTAAATGCTCTCCGTTTTTAACCTAGTTAATTTGTCTGGAAACCTTCCTGTTGATGGCTATCTAGGGTACAGATTGTATTTCAGCCTGGTTTTAAGTGGAGACCTCAAATGGCTCTCCCACATAACATGGAGTAAGTAACCTTCCACTGGCAGAGAAGGCAAGAGGCAGCTGAACTTTTGTTACACCAAATGTAACATTTATTTTGTCAGGATCTATTGTATTTCAGGGACATTAGTGAATTCATTTGTTGTAATTATATGTGATTGCTGTCAAATTCTGTGGTTATTCTCAGGCAGAGCCAGCTTGACCCTAATACATGTGAGGCAGCCACTTCAAACAGGTTTTGGTTTGGCTTTCCTTTTGCAGGTACACTATTATCCACCACAAAATAATATAATTTCAGCTTCTTCATTTAATATTCCCTAATTCCTACCCATTTTTCCAAAGAGGATGCAATTACTTGGGCTTATCTGACATACTCCTACGAGTCTAGACTGATGCTTCTGATGCTTCCAAACTGCACAGAAGATTAAAATATTAAAAGCAGACATACTTGTACTAGTCACGTGGGATGTCTTCCAGATGCAAGAAATGGCTCCATAACATTGCTTCATATGCAGCAGGTATATTGGTTTCAATTTCCTTAACTGTGAAAGAAAGCTTCTCAGATTTGTTCATAGCTATGCTGCTGTGCTTAACACACCTGCTGAATATACCTGCAAACAGTCACACATATATGTGTGTCCTATATTTCAGCCTGACAGCCAGATGTGGTACATCTGCAGCACCTGAGGAAACTCCAGATACAGCCGGGATTTGCATTCTGTCTTGCAGACTCCAAACTGGATGCCCTCAGTTTCTACAAGGCAGATTTACTGAGGCTTTATCAGAAAATGTCCTCTCAGCTCCATCTGGCATAGTGAATGCCATGTGTCATGTGCAGGAGGGAAAGCTGTGATACCCTTCACTGCCAGGCAAGGGGACTCTAGGCCCAGCAGTGTGACAGCTGTGCTTCTCCCAGCATCCAAGTTCACCATTGAGGAGTAGCATGGCAGAGCAACACACACCAGCTGAAGAAATGATGTCACCCAAATCAGGATGGCTCTCACATATCCTTGCTCTGGTAGTCATGGTGAGGGGACATGGGGATCAGGGAGGTTTGCAAGATTTCTCATGTACATCCAACATCACCTTCCCTTCCTATTCCTTTCCCAGTGCCTAAGGAATGGGGCCACCTTAATGAACTAATCTTTTTTTTCTGAAGCTCTTAATTTGAATCTTTTCTTGACCTCCTGGGGTCAAGCAAAATCATTGCATGATCATCATGGTTTTATCATTATCGTAAATATATTAGAAACATTTAAGTGGTACAAAATTATTTTTTGATCTAGGATGGATGTACTGCTTTTGCCTTGGCAGCACAGACTGGGGGACCTGACAGCACTAAGTGCTCAGGATAGCACTGTCTCTGTTGATCATACCATCTTCCCTTGGGCATCGAATATAAAACACCTCCTTAGGTCCACTTTTACATTAACTCTGAGTGGAAGAAGTGGTGACTTGCCTAAGAGCATCTCCCACGCAGGCACAAAATTGCTTGGAAAATCATCTCACTTTAAAATACATCTTTTATACATAAATTAGGTGGAATCAGAATTGAAGTCAAATCCACTACAAAGTGAGGTGAAAAAAAGGTTCAAGACAAGTATTAAAACACAAACCTTTTTGACTTTTT